CCCTGATTTAAAATGCACATAGCTCTGAGAGGAATATTACCTTAAGACACTTTAGTAAATATTCTATGGGACTTTAAGGGACTTTATGAATAAATGCATTGCAGATGTTGGTGCATTAGGAAGCATTAGGCATTGAAGAAAGGAATGGGCAGTGAATTCTGGCTCAGCCACTTATTTGATGCTGGACCCTGCACAATCATCTACAATAATTTTGCGGAGTTCTCATGAGGAAAGTCAAAACATGTGAAAAGCCTTTCACATGGCCCCAGTGAATACTCAATAAATGTTCATTTTCTGCCTTCACTGCCATTTACTCAGTGTGGACATCCAAGTGTCAGATAATAATTTCCTGATTATGGTGATGATAATGATGATTGTTAACATTTACTGAGCATTTACTATGTGCCAGGTACTTAATAAGTATTTTACATATATCATCTCATCTAAGCTTCATACCATTCTGAAACTGGCAGTGCCAGAAAGTAAGGTGCCTCTTGTTCTTGAAATCAGGGCTGATTAATTAGGTGGTAATTAATTCTGGTTGTCCTTACTCTATAAGAACAATAATGATCTGATAACATACATGAATTTTTACCCTTCAAATTTTACACCTTATACAAACATTCAAGAGGGTGTTAGAAAGTCAGCCAACAATATTTGACTTTAACATTTAAAATCATCATTCTAAATAAAATTCATGATCTCAATGGGAGGGTGTTATTTAACTTTTTAGAAGATTTAAAAGCTATTCTCTTTCTCCTCCTCACACCAACCCCAATACTTATGCATGCCCTTTTTCCTCCTGGAACTTCACTTCTTTGTATGTGGAATGATTTACATGAGGATGAAAATGAACCTACAACCACATCAACCACTTGGTAATTGTTTCAAGGAGGCCTACAGAATGGTAGTGTTACCCATTTAATACAGGGCAGTAGATGTTCTCTGTCATATTTTAAGAAATGATAGTTTGTGCATGTTTTTCCCAGAATTGTCCCATTGTTTACTCTGCATGAGAGCCCTTTTGCAAAATAGTAATGCCTGGTGAGC